CCATGGGAGGGGTGGGCAGGGCCAGCCAGGAGTGGGATTTGGGAGTTCTCCAAACTGCACCTTCCGAACCCCTGCGAACCCCCAGCAGCCCATCCCTGGATCCAAGTGTTAGTGCCAAGATTTCTAGAGCTAGGGTGAATAGTAAAGCTGATAAGGGGCAACCCGCCTTGGTATTTCTGAAAATCATGATGGGATCTGAATCATAACTGTTAAGTCTTATCTGGACTTTAGTTGGGCTGTATCATCAATCACATTCTTAAATTTTTTNAATACATTCATACACTGGTAAACTGGACCTAGCCAATTAAACATCAAAATGTTGGCTGCATTCAGTTCACAGGAAGACTTATATAAGTTCATTTTCATAGCGTGTGTGTCTGCATCTTTACACTTTAACTGACAGATTCCCACAGAGAATAGACTGGGGAGTTATCAATTATATGGTTAGCTGTACACTTGCAATTCTATGCTCTGTAGCTTTCTGACAGAAGCAGGCAGAAGAAGCTAGAGTTTAATTCCCACTTCAGCAAGACTCTTAATATTTTAAACAGTCCAGGATTATTATTATTATTATTTGCTTCCCCTTTCCACACTTTTATTTCTGAAAAGGATATCATTTTTAAAGCCTGTCTGCTACATTTTTTCCCCGGTTGTGCCAAAAAAAAAAAAAAGCACACAAGCCCATAAAAAATAAATTAAACTCCTCTGTTTTTAGTGGACTTCCCCAAAACATGGCATATGGTATTACAGGGAGAGGAGATGCTTCCGGTTCAGACATTGCAAACCTGAGCAAATGTTCAGGTACAATGTACTTACCATATTTTTCAGAGTATAAGACACACATTTTCCCCCCTCTCCCCCAAAAAATAGAGGGTGAAAATTTGGGTGCGTCTTATACACTGAATGTAGTTCCACCATCCACCATCCCCCACCCTTTGGCCTCTGCCTCTCAGCAATTTGTCTCCATGCAGCAAACAGCAAACAGCCTGTTTCAGTTTCAGCACAGCTTGATTAGCACAAGCAGATGATTGTCGGTTGGATCGGCCTCCCAACCATCAGCTGTTTCATGCTACAGGGATTGCCGTTGCCTATTGCCACTTCCACATGCCCCATTTTCTGCCCATTCTCTCCACCGTCCAAGCCTTCCGCACAGCCTTGAAGAACTGGCTCGCCCGTCAGGCCTGGGGATAAGGATAGTTACCCCTCCCGAATGATGAATGTATGTTGCCTACCATTTTATTATATGTTACTTTCTTCATGTTTGTATTCCCCCCTTCCCAGTTTTATGTGAGCCGCCCTGAGTCCCCTTAGGGAAAAGGGCGGCCTACAAATTCTAATAAAACTAAAACTAAACTAAAACTAAATTCTGATTCCCACTGCTGGAACAGATGGAAAATGCAGCACGTGGAGGCCGAAAACGGGGCATGCGTATGCTGAAAATGGGATGCAGAGGCAAAAATGAGGCGGACAGAGGTGGCAATAGGCTATGGCAATCCCTGCATCCTGAAACAGCTGATCAACGGGAGGATGATCCAACTGACAATCAGCTGCTTGTACTAATCAGGTTGTGCTGAAATTGAAACTGATACAGGCTGTTTGCTATTTGCTGCAATGAGGCAAATTGCTGAGAGGCAGAGGAAGTTTTTTTTTCTTGTTTTCTTCCCCAAAAGCTAGGTGCGTCTTGTACTTTGGAGCATCTTATACTCTGAAAAATATGGTATATGTGGGTCTATATCTGTAGCCAATGCATGGAACCTTCGTTTGAACTAAACTCCTGCAAAAGCAGGCAAAGTTTCCCCCATGGACAATCCATGCACAGTTCAGAGTCTTGCTTTCCATTGTTTAAAACTCTTCCGAAAGGTTTCTATAGGTAATCCTTCACCAAATCGTTATCTTGTGTGAGCAATGGGAGAAATTTCACAGTCTTCAGAGGTTCCATATTGGGTTATTGAGTAGATAGGTATTTTATTTGTTTGTAGTGTTTTTTATACTGGCAATTCCACAAGGACGTATGACAGTTTACAAAAGGAGAAATTTACTAGTAGTGAGAAAAATTAACCAGTGCAATGGCTTGCCATCAGAAGTTGAAGGCTTTTAAGAAGAGACTGGCCAGACATTTGTCTGAAATTCAGCTTCAACCACAACAACACATGAGCACATAATAGCTACAAACTTATGGTAAACCGCTCCAAATTTGACTGCAGAAAATACAACTTCAGCAACAGTGGTCAATGCCTGGAATGCACTACCTGACACTGTGGTTTCTTTCCCAAACCCCCAAAACTTTAACCTTAGACTGTCTATCTGGCCCTCACCCCATTCCTAAGAGGTCTTTGAAAGGTATGCATAAGCGCACCAACATGCCTTCCATCCCTGTCCTAATTGTCCCTTGTATTCGTATTCATTTCATGTATTCATAATCATGTTTATACTTATATACTTAATTTTGAGTAGTTCGGAGAACCGGCAAATGCCACCTCTTGATAAGTAGTAAAATATTGAACCTGGTTAAGAATTCTGTCAATAGTTGTGAACTCCTTTATACAGATAAATCATGCTTATTCGGTTCATAAAGGTCTGTGAGATTAAGGCTGCAAAGCAGGGGTAAAATTCAGCAGGCTCTGGAGAACCAGTAGCGAAAATTTTGAGTAGTCCGAAGAACTGGCAAACACCACCTCTGGCTGGCCCCAGAGTGCGGTGGGAATGGAGACTTTGCAGCATCCTTCCCCTGCCACACCCACTAAGCCATGCCCACTAAGCCACGCCAACAGAACCAGTAATAAAAAATAATGAATTTCACCCACTGATGTGAAGTTTTTGAAAACTGGCTGTAAGCAAAGTCAGGAACTGTTCAACAGGGCACCCTTTTCCATGCATAATGAACCCTTTCCTAATAAGTACAGAAAACTGGCAAGAGCCTATAAAACTCTCCAACTTGCTTATTTTTTCTGACACCTCATGTCCCAGAGATAATAAGAATGGCTTTACAATGAGACCATGCAAAATCCATTGTATATATTTGATTCCGCCAGGTTTCTTTCCCCCTCAGCAAGAAAGAAACTCGGCTTCTGAAAATTGCTCTCTAAACACCTTACTTGTCCAACTGTGAGATAGTTCATAGTTACGATGGCTGGGTTCCCCCCCCCCATCTCCACCCCCGCCCTCCACCACAACTCCACCATCACTTCCCACTGCCACCCCCTCCCTCCCCCGGCTTGTAATTTTGTCATATAAATGCAAACTTTCCTTTTGGATTTGCAGGCGGGGTGGGGGGGGGCAGAGTAGCGGAGTCCCATCTTGCAGCAGCAAGAGAGAAAATGCCGCCCCATTGAAAAGGTCCCATTTTTACCCTCACATTACATTTGATAATTTCCCCAAGATACCGGAGCAAACTCGTGGCCATGAGCAAAGAAAGCAGACAAAGGAGGAAATCGGTTTGTTTGCAAGGAGGGTGGGGGGAACTGTGTTGGGTTGGGGGGAGGACACCAAGAAAACTTGGACTGTTTGGGAGACGGTGGAGGAACTGGTGGGGGGGGGGGGAGAAGGCCCTGAAAATTGCTTTTTATAATTAAAATTCTGGGGAGGGGGAGGGAGGGAGGAGGAGGTGGGCGACGAAGGAGGAAATCTCAGATTTTTTGTATCTTGAATATTTACAATAAAAAGCTTCAAGTGCTTGTCAAGGGAAGGTAATGTGTCATTAGCCAGAGCTGCTCTACGGTTTCTCCTCTTGAACATGACAGTGCAGGAGGATAAGGGAAGAGTAATTATAGCTCAGCAGGGCTGCCACGTGTGATAAATGAGTAATCAGCCCACCAAAGTCCCTGTCCTCAAAGGAGGGCTATTACAGCCTTATCAGCTGCAAGCCCAGGTGTAGGGCAGCTCAAACCGAGGCCCAGGCCCAGCGTGGACGGCTCATTTTCAGCCAGAAGCTGCCTGCTCTTTGTGCTTGCGTGCTTGTCTCTTTGTGCTGGTGCCACAGGGATTTTGGGTAAGGGGTGGGGGAGGTGGTTGTGGTTTCTACCAATGTCTCAAGCTAATATTGAATCTCCATATGCTCCAGAGCTTATATGCATGAGGGATTGGGCACACTCTTGTATGTGTTTTGTTAATGCATGTCACACAGGGTTTGCAAAATGCAACGTTTGCCCAGTTATTTTACTTCGCTTCCATTTTCCACCTCAACCGCCTCCCCTCCTCCTCCTCCTTCTCTTCCTCCTCCCCCCCTCCCATGACTCCAGTTGTGCTGCTGCACAACTTCCGACATGTGAGGAAACATCTTCTTACTTTGCGGTGCTGAATCATCTGTCTGCATTCAAGGGTGATGGTTCTGTCTGCCTTGATGCAGTTGTTTATGGAGAACAGAAATAGTTACACATCAGACTCAAGTTTGCTCTTTGAGAAAAGTTAATCAAACACTAATGCATGCAGTAAGTTCCCTGAGAGGTCTAATGCTTGCTACCAATACCAATATTTGCAAACAGTGCAAGAAATCTCAGGTGTAATNTATTTGTAACCAACTGATACACTTTCTATAGCATGTAAAGAAAGATGTTGTATTTGTTTTAAATTAAAAATTAAAAAAATTTAATAAAATAAAAAAATAAGTTGCAAATAGATTTAGTAGCTTAAAAATGTTGGAAAGCCCTGTTTCACAAGGAGTGGGAATTAATGTTGTAGTGATATGTTAATCAATATCCATTATATATGTATAATGTATTTTTTCCTTGCTGTATCTTTTTAATGTTTTGTTTGTTTTGTGGGGTTTTTTTTCCTTTATGTCTTCTTGGATTTTTTTTTAAGTTTTGTATTTTAACTTTGTTTTGAATGAAATTAAAAATATATTATAAAAAAGAAATGACTGTTTTTCACATCTTTTATATTTGATAATCTAACAATTGTGGAAATACTTTCAAAAGAGATGATATGCCTTTTAATGGTGGCACTTTGCTATTACAAATGGATTTTAAATTTGATCTCTTGTCTTAACCTTCTCGTTTCAGGTCTTATTTTTTCTCATGGTGAGAACTGGAAAACAATGCGACGATTTACATTGTCCACATTACGGGACTATGGAATGGGCAAGAAGACTATTGAAGACAAAATCATTGAAGAGTGTAATGTCTTGACAAAAACAATTCAGACTTATGCAGGTAGGTTGTCGTTTCCTCCTAATGCTTTACTGGATATCTTTCAGGACAAATGTAGAGTGTGAAATAATAATAATTTGAGAGACAGGGCAATTAGATGCAGCCAAGGAATCATCAGATAAAAGGCAACTTAGAACACAGCAGAAATGTGGATCGGGCAATAGGCTCAGAAAAGATCTTCCTTAGCTTTTGGGGCTGCAAAAGTGATAGATGGAGAGAAGCCATTTCAGACTTGAAAAATTATGTTAGTGTAACTGTACAATAAACTAGAATTAGCTCATCTGGTCATGTTTCCTGTCTGATCTACCTAGTAAGCTGACAGGATATCAAAATACCTTCTGGTAATGTTCATAGTGGGAATAGTTTCTTATTTCAAATTCTTGAATAGCTAGTTTTGTACAAGCGAATAATATCTTACAAATGAACATTCTGGGCTTACTAATTTGTATCACATAAGGGAGGAGTACTAGAGTATAACTCTCCTTATAAAGATATAAGAATGTTATAAACTGGAGTTGTTGCTCCTTCCTGCTTTGGGTCAACGATAATAGCAATAGCAATAGCAGTTAGACTTATATACCGCTTCATAGGGCTTTCAGCCCTCTCTAAGCGGTTTACAGAGTCAGCATATCGCCCCCCCCAACAATCCGGGTCCTCATTTTACCCACCTCGGAAGGATGGAAGGCTGAGACAACCTTGAGCCGGTGAGATTTGAACAGCCCAACTGCAGAACTGCAGTCAGCTGAAGTAGCCTGCAGTGATGCATTTAACCTCTGCGCCACCTCGGCTCTGTAATAATGTTTCAGTTTCTCAAAGAACATAAACACATCATCTAGGTGCATGAAAAGATATACATCATACTCTACCACATTCCCCAACAAAAGTACTGTTTATTAATTGTCAATATTGAATTACACTGCATGATAATTTCAACTCAGTTTTAAGGATCAAATTGATCCTTAATTGTGTGCACTTATTAATTTATTTACCAAACAGATTTATATGGCTGCCCAATGCACATAGTGACTCTGGGTAATGTACAATGTCTCTAATTATTCATCATCATACCTAACTGGTAGCTAATACAGAGGGAAAAATCATTCCATATTTTCTAAAATATTAATCCTTGAAGCCCCCACTCCAGATTATAAAATATGTTTGATGAGCCTAACACATGATATCTGAGCTGCAAAAACTGGCATGACAATGGGATAGCAGCAAAGAGATAACCATTGGCATATATGATTGTTTAAACTTTTGAAACCCAGAATAACAATATATTTACATTCAATGATCTGAGAATTTTAAGATGAAATAAAATATTATCTCTGGGTACTGATTGTTTAAATGGCAAATCTGTTGTTAAAACATGCATTATCTGAAATAAAAATGTAATTATTACCAGAACATTCATTTTTATCCAAAAATTTTCACCAAACGATTCAGTTTTCAATGTTTCAGTTTAGAGATTAAAAGGGCTGGTAAGAGATGGAAAATAAGAAGTGGGTGGGGAGAAGTATACACTATTGTGGGAAAAGAAGATAAAAGTGATGAGTACAACAGCTATTAGTAAAATGAACAAGAAGGTAGAATCCAACCTGGCATCAGCAACATCATCACCCTCAAATGAGCGTACAATAGCGAGTACGCTAGGCATTGAAAAAGCGAGTTCAACAACAAACCATCAGTGCATGCAAGCAACATTAATTATGATTCAGGAAACAATGATGAAGATGCAAGAAACAATTACAAAAAATCATGAGGAGACTAGGATAAATTATGAAGAAATTAAAATGGAGGTGGGAGAAATGAAAGATGAGATTAGAAGAATAGATGACAAAATAGGGAAAATACAAAGTGAGATAACAAAAAATGAACAAAAAATCCAAAAAGTAGAAACAAAGGTAGAACAAATTGAGAAAAAAATAGAAACAGTAGATCAGAAGCTGACTACAGTAAATAGGGAATTAAGAGGAAAAAATAATCTTCCTGGCAATGGAAAAAGCTGCTTTCTTTCTCCATTTTCAAAATATAGTAAAAGAGAAGGAGGAGGACCTAGGGGAAACAATTACAGAAATTGTGGAGAACATACTACAAAAAAATAAACAAGAAATAAGAAGGGACATAGATGATGTGTATTGAATTCACATGAACTTTGCTAGGAGACATAGACTTCCAAAATAAATACATGTATGCTTCACAAGAAAATCAGTAAGGGATGAAATATATAAGAAAGTGAGAGAAGAACAGATAACATACAAAGGAAGAGAAATACAAATCCTGAGACAAATACCAAAAAGTAGTTAGAGATCAGAGAAGACATTACCAGTTTCTTACATCACAACTAATAAAATACAATGTAATGTTCAGATGGCTTACACCAGAGGGAGTTATGATCACTTGGCAGGAAAAAGGTTTAAAATAGATACAATAGATAAGGTACACAGATTTTTCGAGCACCATTTCACAGCTGAGGAAGAACACTAGAGTAGAGGGGAACCAGACAGTAAAAGTCAAGAAGAATACTTAGTAGAAGAAAAGGAAGGAGAAAGAGGACATCGTATTTATTTTAGAAGAGCCATTAGAAACAGGAACCAAACTAATAAAAAATAGAGGAATTTTGCAAAGTAGCGGGACTTAAAATTAATAAGAGCAAAACAAAGATCATTACAAAAAATCTTACTAAAAAAACAAGAAAGAGAACTAGAAGAAATTATGGGAATGCAGATAGTAAAAAGGGTAAAATATTTAGGAATTTGGCTGACAGGGAAATGCTCAACAATTAAGGAAGACAATTATGATAAAACAATACAGAAAATTTAAAAATATTTGGAAAATTGGACAAAACTGCAAATAGCATTAATGGGAAGAATCTGCATAGTTAAAATGAACGTCCTACCAAAAATCTTGTTGCTATTCCAGGTAACACCAATAAATTTAGGGGAAAAAATTTCCGTAGATTTAAACAAATTAATAGCATAATTTATCTGGTTAGGAAAAAAAAATCACAAATCAAGCTAAAATTATTACAGGACAATAGAGAGAAAGGAAGTTTTGGACTCCCAGATTGGGAGCTCTACTATCAGGCAACAGCTCTCATCTGGATAAGGGACTGGATAAGCCTAAAGAACAAGAGAATCTTAACAATAGAAGGGCATAATTTAGAATTAGGTTGGCATTCCTTTATCTGGGACGGGAAAGACAAAACTCATGGTTACTTTCAAAGATAACAAATTAGAAATGCCCTACTTTAAACATGGTAAAAAATAAAAAGAAAACATTATAATCAAATCCCAATTTGGTTACTCACTATGGAAGCATTAATCTACCCAAACACATTGGATATAAATAAAATAATAAGATGCAAAAATATATTAGACAATCAGGAGAGATTAAAAACAAGGCAAAAATTTAAAAAAAATGAGAGAATAAGATATAGATTCGTGGCCGTACCTACAAATAAAAGCATGGTACAAAAAAGATCGAGAAATGGACAAATTCTATAAGGAGCCATAAGAATTAGATAAAATTCTACAGGGAACCAAAGAGAAATTGATCAAAAAAATATATCACTACTTTATTAAGATTTAAGATGGAAGAAGTTGTAGTGAAAGACACCATGATAATATGCGTGATGAATTTTGGATATACTATAGCATTGGAAGAATGGGAACACATTTGGGAAACAAACTATAAATTAACAATGGCAATGGCATATAGGGAGAACATATATAAGATGTTTTACAGATGGCATCTACCACCTGTGAGAATTGCAAGAATGTTCCCAGAATACTCCCCAGCCTGCTGGAAGTGCAATCAACAACATGGAACAAACTATCATATGTGGTGGATGTGCGCATTTGCAAAAAAATACTGGACAAAAATAAAAGACTGGCTTGAAGAGATCACTGCACATCAAATAGAACTAAAATCGGAATTATTTCTATTAGGAATAATTAAGGGAAAGTATAAGAAAAAAATCAAATACCTAATTCTACATGTAATTATGGGAGCAAGAATCTCATATGCACAGAATTGAAAAAAATAAACACATACCAATGGAAGATAACATGATAAAAAAATATTGGAATGCACCAAAATGGACAGGCTCACAAAAGAGCTAAAAGACAAAGAGGAATCGGAGTATTACTCAGTATAGGACTTATGGTATAATTAGCTGGAGGAAAGAGGAAAAAAGTAGGAAAGCAATAAAGAGAAGATCAAGAAACTACAAAACAAGCACAAAACTGCAGAATGAACAAGAGGAGGAAATACAAGATAGACTGTAGATAAAAATAGTATGAAATAAGAAAAATAAGAGAATTAAGTGTATATAACGGATGTTACATACGGAATTAATAGAAAAGATATATAAAACAAAATATGTATATCTACATAGATATAGTTATATAATATATATATGTACAGACAAATGAAATGCAATGGATATGTAAAAGTTGTAAAATGTGCTGCAAAGATGATATGATTGTATAAACAAAATTTAAAATTTAAAAATAAAAAATAAAAAAGAAGACAAGATGGTTCCCACAAATGACCCACAGCAACCTTCAAGAACAAGCCCTCCACTGTTACTAATTATTCCCAGTTTATTTACCCAAAATCACCCTGCTCTGAAAGAGAAGCAAAAGCTCTCCATTCAAGAAGCTATAGGGAACTAGTCCTCAACATAATCTCCTTAGGTGACAAGTCACCACCATCATTAAGAAACTAACTTTTGCTAGCTTTTGGCTGTGCACCAATACATAACCTCCCTCATCAGCCCAGGAGAACCCCCCCCTCCCCAGCCTTTGACCATCAACAACAGGCAAAACACTCCTTGTTGTAACAAGAGTGCTGTTGTCACACACACAAAATCTCGGGACTGCCACCAAGAACCAGGTCTTTACTACCACTCATCCAGCTGCCAGATGCATTGCTACCACAAAATAGAAAAGCTGACAATAGCCTGAAAGGAAGTCTGAGTCCTGAAGTCCAACACATTGGGCCAAGGTCTGACTCAGGATAAACTGGCACTCCACCAGAATGTGCCAAACATAACCAGATAGACTCCAAAGTGTCCACCAAAACATCATGCTCTCATGCCTGCCTCCAACATATTAACAATCCCACTCAATACAACCCAGGATTTCCCATCCAATACCCTATAATAATCCAAACTGAATATGAAGAGTTTACCCTTAAGGACTTCCTCATCTGCGAAGAAACCATTACGTATATATGAACAATAAAAATACAATTGTGCCTCTGTGACAATCAGTTTCCATTCAAGTAGTTGTTCATGTTTTTTTTAATTTAAATGCCTCCTATTTTATCAGCACTGACTGCAGTTTCTATGATATGCTTCCTTTATGTATGCTGATTTTGACTCTAAATTCATTAGCATTCATTCAGAATTCTATTTTGATCTATTGTTTGTTGTCCAGGAAATCCCTTTGAGATCCAAACAGTTGTGACTCCTGCTGTTTCCAACATCATAGTTTCTATTCTACTTGGGAAGCGCTATGACTATGAAAATGCCACATTTCTACGACTTCTGAAGATAATCGGTGAAAATCTACGTCTTTCAGGGTCCCCCAATATATCGGTAATCTAATATGTTGTTCGAAGAAAAAAATGCATGTAGTATAGGCAGATGTGTGTCATTTTACTTTATTGCTAAGCAAATCATTTTGCTTATCATAACAAGATTGTGTTCAAATAATAAAATGAGTATATCATATTCAAATTTTATATAGTTGCCTTGAAATATATGATGTAAGTATGCAAGTCACCTTTTTCTGTGACATCACTTAGTGTCCCTTTTTTCTATAAGCAAATGCCCATGTTATTACTTGTGAATGGACTCAAATTGTAGGGTTGACAGTCTTCTATTGAAAAAACCATTTCAATCTCTTTCCTTCTCTCTCTCTCACATACACTTTACTCCACAACTCTAAATGTACTAAATAGTTTCCTTGACTTGAATTTGCATTCAATTTCTTAGATTGATCATTCTCGTTGTTTGGGACTCAACAAGATGTGAGCATGAGAAATTCATTTAAGAGTATACTGGAAAATGAACATTTATTCTCCCAATAATTGTATGGAGATTTAGTTCATGGGATTTGGGATTTGGGGTTTAGTGAATTTGAAATATTGACTATGTACAGCTTCCTCAATCATGTGCTTTTGCTTATTATTGGAGTTTATTTTTGTAGGCTTATGAAACATCATTTTCATTAAAAAAAAACTTTGAGATATCTGATAATTGTATTCAGAGTACTGTATTTTTCGGAGCATAAAACATACTTTTTCCCCCTAAAAGAAAGTGAAAATTTGGGTGTGTCTCAAATACTGAATGTAGCCCCACTGACACCAACCCTTTGGCTCTGCCACCAAGCAATTTACTCTTTGCAGCAAACGGGGGCTTGCAAGGCTACAATAGACTATAACAATCCCTGCAGCCTGAAACAGCTGATGATCGGGAGAAATTGAAAATGAAATTGCGGTTTGTTCCATGAGGCAAATTGCTGGAAGACAGAGGCAGACTTTTTTTCTTGTGCTAATCAGGCTGTTTGCTGCAAGGCGGTCAGTCAGTAAGTATAAATGCCTGTAGAATGTTCAAATTATTAGACTTATTTTTTAAAGACTGCTTTATTATTATTCTAGACAACTTAACAAAATGAAGAAGCTTTTTAAAATAAATGCTTGGTTTTAAAAAGTGCTATTCTTTTAAATAGCAGAGAATAACTATACTTCCCGAACGCACATCAATTTTAACAGTATCTGTACAAGTATAGTCTGAAATATCACAGTACAGTGTATATTGTCTGCGCTATNAACGGTATAGGGTTTCCTGCCTAGGCAGGGGGTTGGACTAGAAGACCTCCAAGGTCCCTTCCAACTCTGCTATTGTATTGTATTGTATTGTATTGATACATCCCAGGAAACCTAAGAATATTTCTGCATTAGATGAAATCTAATTAACTAGTTGATCAATGATGCAGGCAACACCAATGTAGAGTTTTCAAAAGACACGTGGAATTCTAATATATGTATTTTACTGTTTGGTAAACTGACTTGGCAACTTATCTTTTTTTTTTTTTTTGCAGGCAGGCAGGCAGGCAGGCTCAAAACCAGAAGGAAAACAAATAACTCCAATATTCTTTTCTTCCATCACCAATTTAATGGATGTTAAATTCTATTTCACAGATTTATGTCTGGGAGCCTGGAAATGTCCGTTACTTGGGACAGTATGTAGGCCGGGTTCAAGTAGCAAACAACACTGGAAATGCAACCCTCTCCATCTTCAACATGCGGCCCTCAGACACTGGGCTTTATATGTGTTCGGTTTACAACTTCGAGGACGCTACCAACAAGCAAGATGAAAAATCAGTGTCGGTCAGCGTGTTAGGTACTTATTTCTCTTTTCTTCTGTAGCCTATTTCTGTGCTTGTCACTTGCTACATTGAATTAAAGATTAGGTGATTGGGTTCCACATTGAGCTAAGCCAAAATGTATTTTGCATTCAGTTCTGGCTTAGCATATTGAATGTAAAAGGTGTAATGGTGCAGTGGTGAGAATGGAGTATTGCAGGCTAATTCTGCCCACTTCCAGTTTGATCCTGACCAATTCATGGTTGACTCAGCCTTCCATCTTTCCAAGGTGGGTAAACTGAGGAGCCCAATTGTTGGGGGCAATATGTTGAGTCTGTAAACTGCTTAGAGAGGGGTTTAAAGAACCGTAAAGCAGTATACAAGTCTAAGTGCTAAGTATTTAGTCACTGTCATTGATCAACACTGTTTATGGCTTAGGACAGTGTGTAAACCTGGTTAGCCAACAAGCTATGGCTTAAGATGGTATGTGACCCAGTCTATAAATGTATACTTGAGCTTCTAGTTAACTATCGGCAGAGTTCATATTTTGCATTGGGGTATCATTTGTATCTATCAGATTTGAACTTGTTCCACTGAGATTTATTAAACAAACCATGATATATCCACGCAGCAGGTGAGTCAGTAAAAACAAATTTTGAGTGCAGAGGGATAGTACAGGGATAGAATCCATGCAAATGGCTAACCAACCAAATCATGGTTCATGTATATATGTGTGTGTGTTTGTGTGTATGTATGTATGTAGTTATATGTGATTTATACATTAAACCATGATTTAACAAGGGAACGGCTTGGTCCAAGGTCTAAGTGTAGTCAACGTGTACTTCCTGCTCAGGATTCCTCTCAGCTTTCCTGCGATTCAAGGAAAACCATTTCCATTCTTCTTCTAACTCAGCATTTCCAGAATTATTAAGCCTTTTCTGATCTTGTAGGATTATATATTTTTCTTGAGTAACAGAGTTTCTCCCTTTCACACTTGACAATTCTGGGAGTTAAAGTCAACATATCTTTAAATTGTCGAATTTGAAAATTGCTGGTCTCTATCCACTGCTGATATATTTAAAACCTCATTTCTGGAAAATTACTACAGTATCTAGAACCGGTGTCTAGCAATTTGGGAAACAGGTGCCCAATGCATCACCAAGGCACCAGACTGGGAAAGAGTCCCCTGGAACAGGGCCACTAACCTTTTGGACCTCAGGGACCACTAAATCCATAATTTTAAATCCCGTGGACCAATAATATGAATTAGTGACGGGATGGGTCCTTCAGGCACTTAGCTTGGCTGCCTGTTAGCAGAGAGAAGTGCCCGAGGTCAACCCTAGGTTTGCTGTCCATTGCAGCTAGGAATCTCAAATATGGCCAAGAATGAATGTTTGTAGATCGGCCCCATGCAAACTCTGTCTTTCAAGAACCCAGCCAAAGTTTCGCGTACAGGTCTCTGAAGCGCATGGACTCCCATGGAGGGAGGGAGGGAAGGGCTGGAGCTACTTAACAGGCAGCCAAGCCAAGTGCCTGAAGGATCCCACCCCATCAGCAAGCGGGAGTAATTGCTTTGATGGGCTGTATCCAGCCCAGGGGCCGTAGTTTTGAGGATCCCTTAATGCAGTATAAAAAATGCAACAATGCAAAGACTTTTCTGCGGACCGCCAAAATTTTCTTGTGGACCACCAGTGGTACACAGGCCACCAGTTCATGACCGCTGCCCTAGAACAGTGGTCCCCAACCTGTTTGGCATCAAGGACCAGTTTCATGGAAGACAATTTTTTCCATGGACCAGAGAAGGGGAGGAGGGATGCATAATCTAGATCCCACCCATGCTCAGTTTTGCTCCTTGCCGCTCACTTCCAGCTGTGCAGTCCGATTCCTAATAGGACATGGTCCGGTACTGGTCCACCACCTGGGGGGGGGGGTTTGAGAACTCCCTAGAATACAACACAATGAAGACAAAGAGAAATATAATTTTGATTTTAGTGCTTTGCCTGCTGTTTTGTATTCCAGTTCCTCCTTCAAAGCCGCTCTGCAATTTTGGTTCAAGCCATCATCCTAAAGTTGAAATTGGCCACTTGATCACCTTAGCCTGCATTTCGGAAACTGCTCTGCCAAAGCCAATCTACAAGTGGTACAAAATAACTGGAGATAAACCGCAGCCTGTTACTGAATCATATAGTGAGTAGCTTTCTCCTTCCAGTTCCTATGTGAAGGCTGAGATGCTAGAAGGGAGTGGGAGGAGGTGCGTCAAACTCGATTTCATTGAGGGCTACATCAGGGTTGTGTTTGACCTGCGAGGCCAGGTGGGCATGGCCAGCTTGACATAATTTGTATTGGGGGCACCTGTGGTGCCCAGGTGGGGCTGGGGGAGTCCTCCTGCAGCCCTCTGCCAGCAGAAACAGAGCTCAGGAGGGCCGCACAATGCCAGAGAGATGCAGGAGGCCATTGTGGCTGAAAATGGAGCCGCCGTGGCCCTCCCGAGCTCCATTTTTGCTGGCAGAGGTGCCACGGGCCGGTCCTTTGCTGTTTCTGAGGTGGCCTCATGGGCCAGATCTAAGCACCCCGTGGTCCAGATCCGTCCTCATGGGCCTTGAGTTTGACACCCCTGCTCTATAGTGAATCCAAGAATTTTATAAGATACATCAACAAACTGCAGCTTCCTGCAATAACACCAGCGGAACTGCAAAAAACGGCGCAACTTGGAACATCATATATTTTAAGAAGGTACTTGGTTGATACCTAGGATGCTGGCAGCAACCCGCCTAAACCATTAGCCCCAGTCAATGGTATTTGTAATGCACTTTTGAATGTTCAGTTAAGTTTCATATTTAATGACTAAAGTATAATAATAATAAATAATAATAATAATAAATTTGGGAACAAACAACATCTTGCCAGTAGAGCAAAAAGGCAACAAAAGAAGGAGCAGGGGCGCAAAAGATCAGCTTCTAATTGATAAAATGGTATTAGAAAATTGTAAGAACAGAAAAACGAACTTGAATATGGTCTGGATTGATTACAAAAAGGCANGATGACAGAGGGAAGAAAGAAGGTAGGGAGGAGGAGAGAGGGAGTGGAGGCAAGAAAGCAACGGATAGGGTATAAATATGGTGTATGGAAAGCAGAAGAGCAAATGATAGTCGTTGGGGGTTGATGGTAAGAGGAATTGATATAATATTGAATAATACAAAATAGTGTTGGTTAAGATGCAATGGTATACACATGGTTATTTGTATGAAAATAAAAAAAACTTTTTTGGGGGGGAAAAAGAAGGCAACCAAGCTTATCTAACCTCCTGCTTGTTCTTCGACGCGGCGTAATGCAGCGGGGTGCAACCATTCTGATTGGTGGCATTCACCTGAGCGCCTTTCTGAAGGAGAGCTTTCACAATTTCATCCCGGCCGGCCGATGCGGCAATATGCAAAGGGGTCCAGCCAGCCTGGAGAAAGAAAGAAAAAAGACTACCGTATTTTTCGGAGTATAAGACGCACCAGAGTATAAGATGCAGCAAGGTTTTGAAGAGGAAAATAAATAAATAAAGTTTTTGCACTCTGCAAACCTTCAAAAAAGGCCCGTTTTTCGCAAAAATGGCCCTTTTCCCCCTCCCCCCAAAGGCATGAATAGCTTTAGGGAGCTTGCAGAGTACTCCTGAGGGGGGGAGGGGCAAAAACGAACAAAAAACAGACCGTTATTCGGGGAAAAAGGGGGGGGGGATGAATAGCTTCTAGAAGCTTCTAGAGTGCTCCTTGGGGGGGGGGATTGTGCAAAAAAAACGGGCCATTTTTTGCTCGTTTATGCCCTTCCCAACCCCCAGCAGCTCTCTAAAAGTTTCCTACAAGCTATGCACAATTATTTTGGTGAAGGGGCGGGGTTTCAGGAGGCAAAAATTACTGTATTCGGTGTATAAGACGCAACCAGATTTTCAGCCTCTTGTTTGAGGGAAAAAGGTGCGTCTTATACTCCAAAAAACACAGTAGATAAATCCTTCCATTCCCCTCCATCCAGTCATAGCTGAAGGAGCTTCTTGGATGAGAAGTGAAACGTCTTCAAAGAAAAGCCAGAAAGTTCATTTTAAACCAGGTTTTTATATTATTTATACATATCCATGCGTGAATGGTATGGTGTGTGGGTATCATACATTTCAATACAAATAGACATAGTCTTATTACTCCTAAATATTCCATTCCATTATTTCATATTATTTATACATGCCGATACATGATCAAAGGTTCGGAAGAGGGCAAGAGATGACGGTTAAGGGGTAAAGAATTTCTTATGAATATGCTTTAATAATGTGTACTAATAATTGAATTATACAAGTTGGACAATTACTTTATAATTAGTATGATAACTATCAGGAAAATAATATAAATAAATATGAAGAAGTGGAAAATTAGAGTTTAAATGAGGATATTGTTAAATGTGTATAAAAATATGATTAGTAGTGAAATGTTAGAATCAAACAATGAGTGATTGGCTATATATCTATATCTATATCTATCTATCTATCTATCTATCTATCTATCATCTATCTATCTATCTATTTATCTATCTATCTATCTATCTATCTATCTATCTATATAATATTATATTATATTTGTGCTGATAAATATATATATATTGAAGGATGAAATTCTGAAGTAACTAAAGGAAATATGATAAAAATATGATTAGCAGTGAAATGTTAGAATCAAATAAGGAAAATTAAGGAAAATACATACGTATTTTAATCTAAATATGTGTATTAATAGTAGAATTATATGGATTGAAGGATTGGAAGGAATATGAATAGACACATTTTAAATGCATAACTGTGATTTATTTTTAAAATTATGTGCTAAGATATTGAATAATAGAAGAATGAAGGATGAGATTTTGAATTAAATAAGGGAAATATGAATAATGTAACAGGTGAAAAACACATCTTTGAATATAATAGCGATATGGAGGGGGAAAAAAGTTAAAATAGGGACAGATGTAAGAGTGGAATAATGGCATGCATGCATGCGTGCGTGCATGTGTGTGTATGTATGTGTATATGTATGTATGTATGTGTATATATATATATATTATATATATTATATAATAATATATTATATAATATATATATATATATAATATAATATTGGGTTTCTGTCGTGATGGACTCTTGTGACGAGCCGATTAACAGATGNGGTTAGCGTTAGGTTTAGCGTTAGGTTAAGGGTTAGGTTTAGGGTTAGGTTAAGGGTTAGGTTTAGGGGGGTTAGGTTTAGGTTTACGCGTTAATTTTAGCTTTACCGCTCACAGCGTGCTTTTTTCGTTGCGCTGTGATGACGTCAGGTATGCGGTTTCGTCGAGCACGCTTTAGTCGACCGCGGTTTTGTGGTGGAACCAATTTCTTGTGTGTCTAATCACACCTGGCCAAATAAAGTATTCAATTTAATTCAATTCACCTTTGTTTCTTGGGGTGTTTTTGCAGGCCTATGGCTGCAAAGGCGGAATATGCTGTGGTGCCCAGCCAAGCCACCGTTCCCGTGGCTGCAGTCCCACCAAACAAGGATCCTAATGAGAATGGAGAATACGAGAGCCCAGAAGAAGCCCAGGTTGCCATATTGTCTGAAAATGAGACACAGGAAATGGGCCATCAACCAGTTTCCTAAAACCAGTGGTTGCCCTTGGGGGAAATCCTAAAAAGCACCCCATCTAATCATGAATTTGCATACAGATTCCACACCTGTGCCTTCCAAATAGTGTCACACTAGCATTCATGTCTAGCCATCTGAGATTGATTTCTCCAGCCTTCTGTCCATTTCACACGAGCCCATCATGACCAGATTTGCACGCCACGTGAGATTGTCTAAAACCATGATTTATTGAATAAACCACGGGGTACCTCAATCATAAGAGGAGCACACAGTCCTGGGGCTGGTTAGTGCCCTGAAAGTCCCCCCTTTGCCTTTTAATTCATTTCAATAGCTGTTGCCTATTAAATTCCTACCCTTCGTCTAAAGTTTTAACCTTTACATATACTGTTTTTATATTTTAACATTTGAACTCCCTTTGAGGGAGACGGGTGGTCAGAAATGTGAAAAATAAAAAGTACAGGTAGCCCTTCACTTACAGTATGAAGTTAAAACGGAACCCCCAAAAGCTACTTAGGATTCAGATTCTAAATTCTGGGGTCTCCTCGCAGTCATGTGACCGCATTTTGGGCACTTGACAAGCGGTCTGCATTTAACAGCTGCTGCAAAAGTTTTTAAACTTGAGGGCGATCGCATAGTGACCCGCTTTACGATGGTCACAACTGCAAACTTACAATTACAGTTGTAAAACGAGGACTATCTATAAACCCACAAGGCAATGCGACTAGGTTTGCAATGTTGTACTGGTCTAACCCAACTAGCTGGTCACATAATTAATTCTAACAAGTGGTACAAACCCAGAAAGTGGTTTAATTTAGAGTTCAGTTAGTTGTATGAATCCCCCAAAATTGTTTTTCTTTACTAAACCACAGACAAATTGTTTGAATGCCCTCACTTATTTAACATAAGGTGTGAGTCTCGCATATCCAACTTGCTAGTATTGGTTAACAAGAATGAGTTAACATCCTCTGAGCTGCCTGTCATGCTCATAATTAGCAGGACTGGGCAGTGCTTTGGATTCAAGTCCACAAAGATATTTGGGAGAAAGACAGAGTTCCTGACTGCAATGCTTTAAAACAGCTCTGTCTATCCCAGAGAGAAGCAGCCAGTAGTAGTAGTCCTCAACTTACAACAGTTTGCTTAGTGACTGAAGTTACAAAGGCACTGAAAAAGTGAGCTATGACCATTTTTCACACTTACGACCATTTCAGCATCCCCATTGGTCATATGGTTTGCATTCTGATGCTTGACAGCTAGTTCATATTTATGACGGTTGTCGTGTCCCGGGATCATGCGATCCCATTTTACGACCTTCTGACAAGCAAAGTCGGTGGGGAAGCCAGATCCACTTAACAATCATCTTACTAATTTAACAACTGCCATGATTCACAAAGGTGGCGAGAAAAGTAAAAAAAATGGGGCAAAACTCACTTGATTTCCCGTAAGTTAAGGACTACCTGTAGGAAAGACAAGGCTGCTTTAAAAGTTGCACGGAATGCTATAACGCACCACGCACTCAGCATCTTTTTACATTGTTTGAATACTTTAGTCACCACGCTTAATCTCATTTTTCCCCCAAGAAGGCATTGTCCACAACCTCATGAGCTTTATAAAAGCAGCCTCAATTAGTAAAGAATATTTTTTTCTGTAACTTGCTTTTGGTACTCGGGGTTTGTTTGTTTGTTTTTTTTAAAAAAAAACAAGGAGTAACACACGCTTTACTAGTCCGTTCAGCAAAGACCTCTGGTGTAGCTTTTCTAATGCAGAACGGCATGCGAAGAACGGGGAAGTGGCTTGATTCTTTTGTTACTTTGAAGAACAATAAAATGTCCATCAGATTATCTGCTGTTATGTTTCTCTGATAACAGGAATGGGAGACAAAGTTGAAAAGTAACCTGAGGGCATGATGATACATTCTGTAAGAGTGCAATAATAGGAGCTGCAACATTCCATTATCTTCAACTTTCCTGCTGCCTATATGTAATGCTGGATACAATCAGAAAGGTCAGCAGTGAACATGTGAGGCAATTCACTGGAGAAAGCAATTAGGCTCTGAAGGGTTAGCAGTCACCAAACAACACAGCGGCTGGATATCTTCAGGGTGACACTAGCTAGAGCATAAAACAACTCAAAGAAGTGTGTCAATGAAGACTGAACCGTCCAGGCCAAAGGTGCCTAAAAGTTGACTCATGGCAATGGGACCAAACTTTCTTAATCTGAGGTTTTGTGGCTCATCCAAGCAACTTCATCAATCAGAGCAAAATTAGTTTTAACAAAAGTTAACAAAGTTTGGTCTAGCAGTTGCCATGATTCAACTTTTAAATTCAAAGAACTACTGTATTTTTCGGATTATAAGATGCACCCCCCCCCCCAAAAAAGAGGGTGAAGAGGGTGAAAATCTGGGTACATCTTATACACTGAATACAGCATTTTTTTTTGCCTCCAGAAACCCCTTTCACAAAAATGGACTTGCGTAGCCTTTGGGAGGCCTGCAAAGTGCTCTTGGGGGCTGGGGAGGGCAAAAATGAATGAAAAATGGGCTGTTTTTTGCTCCACAGCCCCCAGGAATACTCCACAAGCCTCCCAAAGCCTCTGCATGCCCTGTTTTTTGCAAAAAAATGAGATTGTTTTTGGCTTATTTTTGCCCCCCACCCCAGGAACACTTTGCAACTCTCAAACTCAAACTCTCTGCATGCCCCGTCTTTTACAAAAAATGAGGTGTGCAGAGGGTTTGGGAGACCTGCAGAGTGCAAAAACGTTTTTTAAAATTTACCTGTTCAAAATCTTGGTGCGTCTTATATCCGGTACGTTTTATAGTCCGAAAAATATGGTAGTGCAAGATCAGAAGATGTGGAGAAACCTGGTCCATGGAATCGTCAAGATTTAGACACGACTGAACTGATAGATCATCATTAATAAACATTATGTTATTTAGTATTTCAAGCCTTCAAGGTTATACTTAAAAATGACCTGGAACAGTAATTCTTTTAATAAGTAGTTTGCTGAAACCAGAAATTAGCCACATAAGATCCTGGCAAGTAAATCAAGAAGTCCCACAATGTCAACTACATTAGCTTTTATTCGCAAGGAACAATTTATGCTACCTGCACCTTTCCCGAACTAAGTTTAAATCTATCAGCTTCCTATCCATAATGCTCAACTCCGATCATTTACTGCATACAGGAGGTAGGAGGAGGAAGCCAACGATACTTGCAAAAAGACTCCAAAAATATTACAATAAAAAAATCCAGGGAGGCAGCAGAAACCAGTGGCCCTCCAGATGTACAATTCCCAGAATTCTCTACTGCTGCTCCCAGTTGGCTGCTGGGAATTGTAGTTCTGGAGGGCAAGAGATTCTGCAGCTTTGAGTTTTGGCCAGGCGTGCTCAATTTCTGAGCCACCACACACGAGCTTTTGACTTTTACTAAATACACAAGAAAATGACCTGAAGGAATAAAGCAGCCCCCCCCCCCCAACCCTGGGCTGTGGCCCACTAGTGGGCCTCAAACCGTTCAGAACCGGGGCGCAGAAGTGGTGTGCGTGCATACATCACAGCTTGCGTGAGTAATGGACAAAATCGTGTGCTCCATCTGTGCGAGCGGCAGGCGTGTGTGCCTGCCTCTCGTGCAACGGACCTGCCCATGCTCTGCGGAACCATCCCCCACCCCCACCCCGCCTGGGCTGCAATGCCAGAAAGGTTGGGGAATTCTTGAATACAGGGCCCGTTTTTACAGGTAACAGTCTTCCTTTTATTTACCTCTTCTTGCAAGATAAGAGGTCAGATTCCTTTCCTATATGAAAGCAGGCGGAAAGAGTTATTTTGAAACTGCTTTCCAACAGGACAACAAGATTTGGCAAAAAAACAGTTGTTAAGTTTTGTTAACACAAGGAGACTTTTTCGGAGGATGGTCAGATGGGAAAGTAGAAAGTTGTGGCAGATGCAGACTGATTTTTCTTTTTAAAACCCTCTTATGAACAGTCTTTCATAGCTTTACGCAGAAAGGAATTTAGGTTGCCCATAGCAGTTACCCCTCAGCCAGCCTTCGGAGGATGGAGGCCAGACCTCCTTTTGCAACCTTCAAAGGGGTCTTTTCTTCTTTGTTCTCAATGTCGATGCTCGCCCCGTGGGACACCAGGAGCTTTGCTTCGTCCACCCGCGCTTCATCGCATGCTAAGTGGCTGTCAAGAAAAACCAAGAATTAATTCCTTTTGCAGGCTCAGTTTCAGCAAAAGGCCCTTCTCTGTGCGTATTTCTTTTTCTATAGTTTTTATAATAATAATGTCAGAGCAAGAGTTCTGCAGAAGCTAAAGGCTTGCCAATTTATTGCTTACATTTATTTTCAAGGTTGACTCAGCCTTCCATCCTTCCGAGGTGGGTAGAATGAGGACCCAGATTGTTGGGGGCAAAATGCTGACTCTGTAAACCACTTAGAGGGCTGTAAAGTACTGTGAAGGGGTATATAAGACTAAGTGCTCTAGCTATTTTCTTTTTTCCTTCCCTTCTTCTTTCTTTCCTTCCTTCCTCCTTCTCTTCCCTTCCCTATCAATCCATCCATCCACTCATCCATCCATACCAGCTCAAGGTTGACTCAGCCTTCCAGCCTTCTGAGGTGGGTAAAATGAGGACCGAGATTGTTGGGGGCAAGAGACTGACTCTGTAAACCACTTAGAGAGGGCTGTAAAAACACTGTAAAGCGGTATATAAGTGTAAGTGCTAGTGTTAGGAGAATCATAAAATTTTGAACTGATATTATGTTCTTTGAGATGATGGAAAAAAAAGACTGACCCAATAGAAACTGCATTTTCCCCATAGTTACACTTTGGTTCTCTAATGGCCTAAATATTTTGTCTTTGTTGCTTAAAAGGCAAACCTGAATTACAGCCACACTTGCCGTAATATTTGAGCATTACATCTAAGGGTTAGTGTAAGTTCAGACATCATGTTAATCTAAGATCAAGGAAGCTTAGTGGAATTCCAACAGGTCAAATGCTGGAAGCAATTAGCTTTAGCAGACGCCTGTGGTACAACTGGAAATGCAAATTATGGATTTAGTTTTAATCTACAGCTAGTTTCCATCTGGGTAAATTTAGACTACATATCAGAATAGATCTAAAACTTTGCTAATTAAGCAAGGTTTTCTCATAATCAGATGTAATCAGATTTATGGTACGGGTACTTAAGACCTTGTTGTCAAAATTCTGCATTGCTCTGTTTTCCCACAATGCAGGCAGTCCTCGACTTACAACCACAAAAAATTCCATTGCTAAGGAAGAATTTTAAATAAATCAGGACCCAATTAACCACAATTTCTGGAAGGGAAACATGGACCTGCGTTAGTTCTGCAAGTTTACAGTATAGGTAGCCCTCGAATTACAAGCACAATTGAGCCCAAAATTTCTGTTGTTAAGTGAGACATTTGCTACGTGAGTTTTGCCTCATTTTATGACCTTTCTTGCCCCAGATGTGAAGTGACTCACTGCAATTGGTAAGTTAGCAACTCATTTGTTAAGTGAAATCTAGCTTCCCTGTTGACTTTGCCGATCAGAAGATGGCAAAAGTTGATCACATGTCCGAATTATGATCATGGGATCCTGGGGGGATGTTACAATGGTCTTAAGTGTGAAAAACAGTCATAAGTCACTTTTTTCAGTGCTGCTGTAACGTGGAACAGTCACTAAACAGATGGCTGTAAATCGAGGACTACACGTAGATATCATTTTATGGTTGGACTAGCTGGATATCCATGCTCTGCTACGAAACTATTTGATCTGGCTTGATAAATCGACACTTACAGCTTGAAAATTAATGAGTAGTTACAATTGGCCTCTCCTCTCCCCTTCTCTCCCTCAGGCTTCCCTCACAGAAGTCTCTCCTCTCCCTGTCAGCCTCTGCTTCGCTACTTGCTTTCGGCTGCAATTGAAATGGGGGGGAGGGATGGCATGGTATTTGGAAGGGCATACCAACCTGATGAAGCTTTTTGAAGATGAAACCCACATGACACCTGAGGGGTTTGGGGATTGGACTATGGGATGGGCTTACAAGGGGAAGGGGGTTGGGTCAAATATTGATATCTATGATTACGTGTGCTTTTGCCTCAGATCTTGCTTTGCTTAGCTGCTATCTACTCGTAACCAGTAAAAGTACTCTTAATTCTGCAAAATGGAATTGAGTGGTTTCTTTCTTGGTTACTGAGGGAGGCTGCCTTGACACTCCCCTTCTCTCCCTCAGGCTTGCCTCATAGTTGCCTCTCCTCTCCCCTTCTCTCCCTTAGGCTTGCCCCACAGAAGCCTCTCCTCTCTCCTTCTCTCCCTCAGGCTTGCCCCACAGAAGTCTCTCCTCTCTCCCTCAGGCTTGCCCCACAGAAGTCTCTCCCCTTCTCTCCCTCAGGATTGCCTCACAGAAGCGCCTCTCCTCTTCCCTTCTCTCCCTCAGGCTTGCCCCACAGATGCCTCTCATATCTTATCCCCTTCTCTCCCTTGGTCTAACTCCTTAGCATCAGATTGTTTTTCAGGTGGGGAGGGGGAGTAGAATGTCTAAACTCCCAGCCCGTGGCCAAGCGTTTCTACACTGTAAGAAATACTAATGATCTGATAGTCATTTCAAAAAATCCTTTCTTAGCAAGCACCTAGAAGCTAAGAAGAACCTACGTGCCAAATTTCAGGTTTGTAGGCTTTACGGTTCTGGAGATTTTGTGACAATGCATGAGTGGTATTTCCCTTTTATATATATGGGCTGAGATGAGCAGTCTAACCCAGAATAACAGAGTTAGAAGGGATCTTGGAGGTCTTCTAGACCAACCCCTGCTTAAGTAGGAGACCTGAAATCATTCCGTGAGTGGTTTTTTGCTTTTATATTCATGGATAGCCTGCCCTACATTAATGTCCAAGCCTTGTCATAAATAAAGGGAAGCATCCCATCCTTACAGAGGTGTGTTTCCTTCAGAATCCTGTAAGTTGACTGAAGCATTGTGCTTCAGAAGGATCTGTATCATTTTCTGATTCCCTTTGGAGGCTGCTCTGTGTAACGGTGTTGAGGCCAAGTGATCCTTTGCATCTGGATTAGCTTTGTTCTCCAGCAGCATCAGCGCAATCTATTGGGGAGAGGAAAAAAGGATGACTGAGCCGTTGGCTTTTGAGAAGCAGGGAAAAGAACAAAGCCACTGCGCAAAATCTAACCTATAAAGGAAAAATGACTATAAAGAACGTAAGTGAGCGATCAGAGTGCAAGGAACAAGGACATACATTCAATTTGGCAGCTACCCTGTTTCCCTGAAAATAAGACCTCCCCGGATAATAAGCCCAATCGGGCTTTTGAGCACATGNAGCGAGTCTTGGCAAAATTAATGCCAACATTAGCTAGGTACAAGATGTGTGTTTAACAACCTGACCTTCCTTCCATCTTCTTTTTCAGATCCTTACTCAGGGCGCCTGGTTCTAGGCAACCTGTCCCAGTTTGAAGAGGGTCATTACCAGTGTACAGCTGTCAACTCTCTTGGGAACAGCTCCTGTCACATTGACCTCACTACAAAACGTTGAGTTTTGTCTTATCTGCTCAATTTAATTTAATTTAATTTCCAATGTTTTTATACTACTTCTTGTTTAAACAGGCCTTTTATAATTAAAAACTCAACCATTTTAAGGAAAGCACTGAAACAACAAAATCATCAGGCATTGACCCGTAATTTTTAATTCTGCCATAGCACAAGGCGGTGACCTTGGGCCTGTCCATTCTTTCAGTCCTAGGAAGGGGACAATGGCAAATCATTTCTGCAAATTCTTTTCAAAAAAACCATTTTCTTGGCAAGATTTTCCAGAGGGACTGGCCAAGATCACCTAGTTGGCTTTGTCCTATGACAGAACTAGAACTCAGTCTCTGGTTTCTAGCTTGATGCCTTACTTACTACACACAGCAGGCTCTCTAATTGATGATTTACTGGGTGTTGTTACCCTGTTTCCCTGAAAATAAGACCTCCCTGGATAATAAACCCATTGGGCTTTTGAGTGCATGCACTAAAATAAGCCCTCCCCAAAAATGTTTAAATGCATGCACAGCCGTTCCCCGCCATTGCCTCAGGTTGCTTGCCGCTCAAACAACACGAGGTGAGGAGGCAAAGCCGGAGGGGGAGAAGGGAGGTGGAAGCTCCTCTTTTATTTCCTCTGGGAGGGGCCATTCATTGTCCACCTGTGGCCTTACTCCTAAGCTGACCCCTGTTCTTCAGCTGTTCCTTTGATCTGGCAACTCTGTGCATGTGCACACTGGGAACAGGCTCCAGCTGTTCGTCTGCCTCACTGATGTCTGACTCTGAAGGCAGCTGGTAACTGGCATACGGCTCTGGGCCCCTCTCTGCCTTTAACACAAATCCCTCATCAGAGCCTTCCCCAGACTCCAGGACTGGCCCATGTTCCTCCCCAACCTCCTCCCTGTCCGAATCTGTTGCCAGCTCCACTAGCTGCTGGTGAGCCACAACAATGAATTAAAAAGAAGTGGTTGGAATTCACTCATTAAAAGAGCACTATTTTAGTGCCCCAAGGGAAGATGCCCCCTTGATTTCAACAGCTGCATTCACAAGGAACCCAAAACCAGGAGTTTTTCATCCTGTTGTGTTGCGTAAGGCAGAATGGCCAAGTTTGCACATAACACACTAAGACGACAAACAGACAATATGTATAAATCTTGCCAAGATGGATAAATCGCCTTTCCTATTCTATAGTCCACTCAGAAGTGTGAACTAGCTGCTTCACACCTCCTGCCAAGGAGTTTCTTGTATAAATGACAGGAGTTTCTCTCCTTGCAGATTCAGAAAGCGGCATCATTGTGGGAGCCATAATTGCGGCCATTCTGGCTGCTGCCTTGATTTGTATCGTTGGTTGGATTGTAATCTCCAGAGAGAAGAAGAAGCGGAGAAAAGAGAAACCTGCAGCCAAGGAAATGCAGTAAGTTTGTTGAGAGATTTGTTTTTGGAACAAAGCTTCCCCCTTCTCTGAAATTTGTCCAAAACCAGGTTGGTTCATGGTTTTAATCCAGAGTTTGTTGGAACAAGAGTTTAGCAAACAAGGCACAAGGGTATATTTCTCAGCACAGTGACTGAGTTCCCGTGTCAGGCTATCAATGATGGGCCTAGAACAGTGTTTTTCAACCACTGTGCCGCGGCACACTAGTGTGCCGTGACATAGTGTAAGGTGTGCCGTGGGAGAATTATTTTATATATAGTCAATATNAACTCCCAGAATTCTCCAGCCAGCGAATGCTGGCTGGGGAATTCTGGGAGTTGAAGTCCGGACATCTTCAAGTTGCCAAGGTTGAGAAACACTGCGTTACTGTTCCAGCTATTAAATTTAACATCCTATCAGAACTTCATCCTCCTTGTTTCTCTACTGCCAGTTGGCCGATTCAGTGCAACGTCAAGTGTGGAATCAAGAAGTTCCCCTTCTTAATTATTTCCAGATTTTAAGTTTGGAGGAACTCGGGACAGATAGAACCCCAGGGCTGAATCAACATAGCGTCTTCCAGATGTTTCAGGAGCCTGTATGCCTCTTGGCCACGCTGGTGGGAAACTCTGGGAACAACGGAAAGAAAACATCTGGAAACACTAGACTAAAGTTGAAGAAAGCTTTGTGTAGTGGCCAAAAAGAGCAAAAATTGGCGCTTCGTTTTTAATAGAGAGACAGTTCAATTGTTGCTCAAGTAACGCCGAATTATATGGTAACCCGAACTTGAGGCAAACCAGAATTGCTGTCGTTAATTCTGGAATATAGGTAGTCCTCAACTTACAACTTAATGACTGTTCAAACTTGGAACAGCACTGAAAAAGTGACTTATGACCATTTTTCACACTTAGGACCTTTGCGACATCCCCGGGGGGGGGGCACATGATTTAGATTTGGATTCTTGACAGCTGACTCACATTTATGACAATTGCAATGTCCTGGGGTCGTTTGATCCCCTTTTGCGACCTTCTGACAACCAAACTCAATGGGAAAACCGGATTCACTTAACAACCGTGTTTACTAATTTAACAACTGCAGCGATTCGCTTAGCAAATGTGGCAAGAAAAATGGGACGAAACTCACATTTTTCACTCAGCAACATAAACTTTGGGCTCAATTGTGATCGTAAGTTGAGGACGGCCTGTAATTTACATTCTGGATGGCATCTTAAAAAAAAAAAACCATAGATCTCTTTTCTGTATGTTCTGTCTCCTCAAAAAACCCTTCTCCTTTTTTAGAATTTTTTAGAATTTCTTTGGAAGAAGCAAAAGAAAGAATTGACAAAACCACTTTGAGACAGCTGGAGTTAAAGAAAGAATGGGCCACTGAGGTGTGTTTGATTTTGCTAATTCAGATGCTCAGCTGCATCTCCTTGTCTGGTTTTTCAGAGTTAGCTGTTGCCGGATACATTAGAACAGTGTTTCTCAACCTTGGCAACTTGAAGATGTCCGGACTTCAACTCCCAGAATTCCCCAGCCAGCGGACATC